TGAGAATAAATATGTACTTCATGCATTTCATGCCATTAAATAGATCTAGTGCATCTAAAATCGAAATTGCAAGGGATTACGGCTTACTTGAAATGCTTAAACCCAAATGTTGAAGAATATATTGTATTCTTCGAACAAGATTACCATTTCACGAACGAACTCGAATCACACGTTCTTCAAGCATCCACGTGCCAAAAAGGGTTCATTTTTCATGAGCACCTGAATCACAAATTCTTCAAATATCCTAGTCCCACGAACGATTGTCTTTCCACGATCACGACGAGCATTTCGTGCTGATAACGTGTTGTAAAATGGCCTATTTATCTAGCTCTTTGGTTTGTGTTTGTGGAAATACATAAGAATGTAAATAACAAGAAAATGAGAGAAAGAGAGAATGCAAAGAACAACAATCCGTAGAGAGAAAATTGTGGGTCTCCATGGGGAGGGAGTTTTTCTCATTAATATAGGTGTAAGCCACCGGAAGTTACAAGGAGGAGTTACAAATGGAAGTTCCATGGAAGTTATTTCCTACACACATCAAGGGACTAAGATGTGTGAAGTTTACACTAGTGGGAGGTTGAGAAGACCCTCAAAGTGGTTAAGTTAGGAAACCACACATTCCATATTATTTACAACATTTTAATTTAAATTTAAAAAAAAAAAAAAAAAAGAACGATTTGTTGACCGATATATCGGTTTGACCTGCCAAAAAACTGCCGCAAACCGCCTCACCGTAAAAAAACGATATTCCAAACCACCTCAACAAAATCGTAAAGGTTTATAACCGATACCGATATGGCGGCCGATATATCGACCGCCACGACCGCTATTTAGAACACTGGTATTGCTTAGATAATAGGGCGTACCTTTAACAAATGAATTGAATCTTTATTTATAACTCGTTGATTGGGCTGAAGTTAATTCGTTGGGTCCAAATCTTATTTGAAGGTGTTTGAGTTTTCGTAGTAGTGATCTTGTAAATCAGGCTTGTGGCCCTGTAGGTAAAGAAATTGTAAGCCCATTGGGTTGACCCAATTAGGCATATCAATACTAATATTGATGATACAAATGTTTTTCCGAAAAAAAAAAATCATTTTGTTGGAATTATTTTTGAAAATTAAAATTTAACAAAATATCAAAATATTATGTATATACACTCCAATCTCAATCCCAAAATAAATTCAAAAACATCGAAAATTTTGGAATTTCGGAATTCTAAATGAAATTTGTTGGTCTAGAATGTTATAATTGAAGTCGAAGAAATTTAGAAATTCAATTCCAATTTCCACCGGTACTTCACGTTCTTTATGTTCTTATTCACCGGTCCCATTTGGCAAATCGAGCAGCACCATAGCCAAAACTATCTCCTTCCTTGCAAATTAATATGTATTATCTACAATTATATATCTAAGTTGTTTTTCGCTTACATAAAAATTTACACAAATTCATGTGTGTTAAAGTCTGCGATATGAAATGAAGGGCATCAGTGAGTTTATCTATATCTATATCTATATCTATATCTATTCTATATATGTATCTGTACTAATTAAATGTGTTAATAAAAAACGGTGTTTCTTCCCTTTTTTATACGGACAAAAATGCCCATCAAAATAGACTCCAAATATAAGATTTCAAAGCAACAAAATAATTTACATTAATGATAATAATTAGCCTTTTATCATTATTCTACTTAGGGTCGGGTATGGGTAGGTTTTATCGGCTAATCGACCCACTTTTAACGGTCAATAATTTTTCCGGCCGATAATTTTAACTGACCCATATATAAATGGGTCGATCAGTGATTTTCAGTTTACTCAAAATTCGGTTGGTTGGGTAATATCTGCCAACCAACTTTTTTAATAATTTGTTTTTATTATAAATATTTAATTGTAATTCTTATTTTTTAATGTTAAAATAATATATAAAAAAATTAAAACTCAACACTAATTTATAAACTTCTCAGTACTACTATTTTATAATGCGTATTTCATATTCTTCATTATATATTTACTTATTGTAGAAGTTTAATAAAAAAACGCTTAATTTTAAATTTAAGATTTTTACAACATAAGTTTTTCCAAAATTTTAAATATCTTTTGAAAAAACTTTTAAAAATATCTTATTATTGTAAAAAAAAAAAAGTTAAAAGAAACAATAAAAAGATGGCCGATAATACCAACCAACCACTTATTGTTTACCTGACGAAGTCGGTTGGCAACCATTTTATCGGCCCGTAATGGTCGGGCCAGTAATGCATGGTTTTCAATATTCAACAAAATCGGATGGTCGAGTCGGATAGGTAATTCGCAAATAATTATTTGATCCAACCCATGCCCTAATTATACTGATCATTTTTTGGAAATGAATAAGAAGCTTAAAAGTCCTAATCATTTAATATATAATTAATTGTTGAGTCAGTTACAAAATAAATAAAACAAAATGATCATAGTTTTCATCTTTCTAATTTCTCTTTCATCGTTTTTTCCATTATCTTCTCGATTTGTTATTGAGTTTTATGTTAATATTTGCTAACTATCGATTTGTAGAAATTTTATTGAAGGAACAAATCCTTAGTGATGTCAAGACATTAATTCAGTGTCTCTTAATAAAGTTTGCAAATTATTTTGCTAATATTTCATACTCATTTGTACATTTTTTTCTTCTACTGATTTACTCGAATTCACCGATATCTATCCTTGATATTGAAATCTTTTAAAATTCTTCTTATGAAGTAATTGAAAAGATGTCAGTTTTATGAAATATAATTGAATATCATTGATTTTTTTTAATGATAATGGAAAAAAAACCCAATGGCAATTGAGTCATGCATGCATATAGACAAAAGGTATAAAATTAACTTGCGTAATTCAATATTAAATTGTAATTAGATTCTACTTATTCAAATAAATTATCAACGTCGCAATATACTGAAATGTTAAATGTCGTTTCAATTTTGCTAATGTCGTTTTGACTTCGAATCTGATTTTGATATATTTCTATTTTGATTTTGGCAAAATTCGAAACACGAAAACTGTAGTCCTTTGGGTTAGCTTTTTAATCCAATTTAAATCCGCTAGATTGGATGCCGTGTGACAAAGTTATGCATGAATGAGTCACATTTTGAATTTTAGATACCTCAATACATCAAAGTTGTGGGCAGTATCCATTGATTCATGTATATCTTTCTCGTCCCACATCCAATTTTGGTGATTCAAGTTAGATTAGAAAACTAACTCAGAATACTACAAATTCTATGTTTCGGGTTTTGCAAAATTTGGAATTAAAAATAACCAAAATCACGTTTGAAGTCGAAAACGGTATTATTAAAGCTCGAACGACATTTATCACATCCCCGCAATATATTAACATAATTTTCATTTATACTATTAGTGTATATTAATAAAAACATAACAAGTAAAATGCATAATTAATAAATACATAAGCAAAATTAATAATACACGTACAACACACGTGCACCTATCTAGTATAACCTAAAAGCAGATCGCTTATCAGAATATATATAAACTACACCACATAAGTTTTATTTTGTATGATATTCCATTTTTAAAGTGTCAAGTGAATGTAAGAGTTTTTCAAGAATCCACCAAATTTAGATTCCCATAAGATTGAAATGAAAACTGAAACATTCATAAATAGTAAGTATGTAAGATCATCAAACATGTTCATGAAAATGCAGGTGCTTGTTGTCAAATCTTATAAACACATCCCGCAATACGTGTTCTTGGTTCCTAATTCGAGACGCAGATAATCGTTTTATATGTATTGTTTCGACATTTCTGTTGCAATTCAATCCAGACTTTTATACGAGGTGGTCGGTATATTGTACTAGATTCTCAACAAGAAAACACCGTGTATTATTAAGAATTCTATTAGAATTGGAAAATGCACAATTTGCTGATTTACCTTTTCGAAAGCTGCATAATTTCATTTTCTTGAAATATTTGTCCCGGTGTATCCATCCAATTCAATCCAGACAATTTGCAACACCACGAAAGAGAGAGCGATATTGATTTATGTCTCCTGAAATTCGGTTAACGTTCGAACTTAAATATGCTTATGCATGTAAGTGGCATTGACAAAGAAAGAAGTAAATGCAAATGCAAAAAGCAAAGTCAAAAGGAGTTGCGAGATCGGGATACACAGTCGCTTCGTTCTAGAAACTATAAGGGGCTCGTTTATCGTAAATCTAATAGACTATATCGACGACAATCATAAAATCATTGGGATGGTAAATTCATAATGTAATTAGAACAATATTAACAGTCATTTATAAGCTTTAAATTATGTATTACCATATCAGGAACCATGTGGATCAACAGACGTAATCTGTGTTAATATTTAACAAAACATCGTCTCGTTAGAGAATTTGCCAAATCTCGTAACATCCTCTAGTTTCTGATCAACCGCAAGTTTTACCTGCACAAAAAAAAAAACGTGGAAGCAAAATGATTTACACCAAGTAAATTAGATAAAAAAAAATTAAAAAAAATCTGGTCCATTTAAAACAGATAAAATTAATAGCAAGTGCCAGATGAGGTAAATAAAACGAGAGACGTTTGCGAATGTAGAGGTGACTACACACGACGAAAGCTACTAATTATGGTATAAATATTTTGAAGAAGCTTAGATGAATGAAGCAGTTGTCACCTCAGTTGACTTTTCCGTGTTACCTGGACCGGTTTAGTAGAACCTTTTGATTCCTAGGATTCATGAACGATGATAATAGCATCGTGAATTAAAAGATCCTTCAAAGATTCTCCAGCTTGCATGAATACCCACTATCGCCAACTTCGTTATAAGCAATCGAAACCAGAAGAAAATGCATGGAACGAAAATATTATGAAAAAAATCTCTTAAAATTGCAAACGTTGAGTCGAAAAATAGAAGTGCCAAAGCCACTAAAAGTTAGCCCTAATATTAAACGAAAATAAATGGGAACAATGCTAGTTTTTTTTGTTTTTCATATTATTCTCGCTGCACTAATGTAAATTTCGCGTAAAATTTTCACCTACCTTATCGATGGCTGATCTTGTTTTACGTTTCCTCTCTGCTGTCAAAGAACAGAAGACATTAGCATGTATATGCTTTTTGCATGCTTGTTAAAACGGCCAAATGATTCCATTCGGTTTGCATGCAATGATTTTTACTGCGATGCCGTTACTCAAACAAAGAACAGAAGATATTAGCTACAAATGATTTTTGTATGTTTAATGAAAAATCAGAAGAAGATAAAAGTTCTATGGCCTCATTTAATATGAAATATTCAACAGAAGCACATCGCTTTCTCGTTAGGACAAGTTTCCTAATTTGAGTCGGGAGAGAATTTACCTTCACAAGAAAAGCAAAAATAATTCGATTTATTGAGTAACACTTTTTCGTCGTATGATTAAAACCTAACAGAAAGCATACTTCAATTTATTTTCTACCAATGCAGTAAGAGAAAAAGTTAATTAAGAAACAATACGAATGTGACGTTACGTTTTCAAGTTAATCATCAGTAAATCTAAATTAACACAAGCACCATTTCAAGCAAGAAATTAACAAACCAGTCACCTAATTTTCACCTTCCAATGAAATATACAAAGACACAAACAGCATATATAAAAACTAAAAATAAAAATAAAAGAAAAATACGTTAAACTTAAAACAAATGTAAATAGCTTTCATTTATAGATAGTTTCATCGTTCTCAGTATAGCTTTACACTTTTCTCATAAAAAAGTTCTATAAGTTTAAATCCCAACTCATAACCTCTTACTTCTCAAAGGGAAACTATATATAGTTCAGGAATTGCCAAACAAAAAAAAAAGAAAAAAAATAAAAGACACTACCTATAATGCATCCACGCTCGTTCATCTCTTTGACAGATCAATATCCCCTTTCCATCTTCCTTCATTTGTTTCTTCTCGAATATTTAAACGCAAATCTAGAATCTTTCACACCCGTTGTTCCATCACCTTCATCGACAGCTGTCGTGACCTTAAGAAGCTCCAAAGGCAGAGCAGCAGGGTCCAGCTCGTAACTACCCTCTGGAACATTTTCACCTTCGCTCTCATTCAGCGCATAAAAGGGTACCTGATGAGAGAATCGAAACATCTCCTCATTCGGAATCTTCCGGATCCCTAAACCATGGTTAAATACAGAAGTAAACCCAGGCACTTTAACCAGAGGAGCAACCAAAACACCCACACTTTCATCATAGTCTTCAAGGACAACCACCATATCGTACTTATGTACAACTTCATTCGGTGTGACCACGTTCCAGTCAGTGGACCAATTCGCGTACAATGCCCAAATATCACCTTGCGTTGGAAAAATTTGTATGGCCCCCCTCGCGCCCTTTCTCCATTTAACTGGATGAGAGAAGGAATTCAATCTTTTATTGGTAACGGCTCTTCCGACACGATATTCTCCAGTGGTCTTTGTGAATCCCATGCCGGTCCAGTCGAGGGTTCCGAATTCGGAACATGATTTGGAGTTCAACCAGCTGATTTGTATCTTGAACGGCTTTCTTGATTCCACACACTGGACAAGAGCATAATAACGAGGCATACCGTCATCATCATCATATGCAGCCCAGACCTGGTTTTCGATAAAAGACACCTCCATCCTGTCATTGTCGAAGTTATGGAAATTTGCATCGGGCACAACCATTGATACAGTTTCTTCGGTATTTGCGTCTATATCTTCGGTATCTTCAGTTTGGTTAGGCTGCAATGTGTTCTTGGTATCACTGATTTTTTCATCAGCGGAATCGTTTTTCAAGACATCTTGAGAATCTTTCCTCTCCACTCCCTCTGTATGGAAAGATTTTGAGTTTTCATCTTTCCTCTCCACTCTCTCTGTACGGGAAGATTTTGACTTTTCATCTTTCCTCTCCTCTCTCTCTGGACGAGAAGATTTTGACTTTTCGAGCTGCAAAAGAATTTCCTTTTTCGCTTTCCCAATCAGCATATCACGAATCTCGATATGAGACAACTCCTTCGCACTCTTCGAACCTTGTCCACCATCAGAACAGGCTTCTTTTTTATTAATGTTCTCGTCGTATTTCTGACCATTTACGCGTCTCCTTTTAACGGGCTTGTCTCTGTTCACACCACTACCAGCATTAGAAGCTGAAGCTGAAGCTGAAGCCGAAGCCGAAGCTGAAGCCGAAGCCGAAGCTGAAGCCGAAGCTGGTTCCACCACCTTTTCTGGGACAGTGCTGTTGTTATTCCTCGACACATTTACTGCCTCTTCATGCTTTCTCTTTAAATTCTTGCTGGCTGGTACCTTTCTACGAACATTTGACTTACGATTTTTCACATTCGGTGCGGGCATCTCTGTTGCCAAAAAGGGCTTCTTGCATTGAGGGCACTGAAGAGTCTGATTGACAAAGATTCTACGGTACTCGTACTGCGTCCTGCACCGGACGCACAAAGTCCAAAAGGTCACGGATTTCGGTGGACGAGGGATTGGGTTTGGTTGCTTGAATGTAAACGAAGTACGCTGACTGTGTAACGGTGGCTGCATAAATGTAAAGGAAGTAAACGGAGCCCCACCCGTGGGCATGAAATAAGAACCCATGGGTACTTCAGAATTTAGATCCATTGGGCGCCATGGACGAGGTATGTACCATGAACTCTGCTGTGAGCTGGCAGCACCAGGTGGCGGAACATACTGTGAGCTGGCGGCACCAGATGGCGGAACATACTGTGAGCTGGCGGTACCAGATGGCGGAACATACTGTGAGCTGGCGGCACCAGATGGCGGAACATGCTGTGAGCTGGCGGCACCAGGTGTCGTATACCTCTGTTGACCTGTGGCAGCCCTTGGTTGAGCAGGTACACTCCTCTGGTAGAGATTTGTGGCAGCGGCTTTATTAAACATTGCACTTGATGAAGGGAAACTGCTGCTAATGCCACTAGTCTGATTTGAAGCTCTGATGTTGATCTTCGAGTTGTACGCACTTCTCTTTTCCTTGTCTGAAAGTACGCTCCATGCTTGAGACATTATCTTGAATGCACCGTCGGCACCAACTGACTTGTTTTTGTCAGGGTGGAGAGAGAGAGCCAGTTTTCTGTACTGCTTCTTTAAAGCTTCTTCTTCGGCTGATGGATCTACACCAAAGATGCCGTAATAGTCTGTTTCTCCATTTATCTTCTTCTCGTTCGAAGCGTAAACTTCAATCACTTCGAGGAACTGAGACAGACCCTCGAGCTTGGGGAATAGAATCTTTGCCTTCGAAGCAAATTTCTTGGCTCCTGCAATGTCTTTCTCCTGTAACTTCTTCTCGGCGATTTCTTTAGCCTTGACAGCTTCGTCTTTATTGCACTCCATTTTCAGAAAATATAAGTCTTCGGCTCTACCAACCTTGTAAAAACCAAAAGAATAGTGTTTTAAGTGACTTTAGATTGATATGTATAATACGTGCTTGACAAGTAACGTAGCAATTTCCAGCATCGAGTTCAGAATTGACTATCATAATCTTAAGCGGAAACATTACTCAGATAGAAACAATTTCTGAAAATCGATTTTTATAAATGAAGCCTATATGTACGTACATAATAAACACGTAATCATGCATGCAGATGCATTTATAATTTCTAGAAAAGATTCGATGGTGGAATAACAGCCGTTAAACTAGAAAACCCAATTATCGGAAACCATGTATGTCAGAGTTACGAAGGTTAGCTAAAAAATGTCATAGAATTGAGAGGATTATAAGGAATTCAAATTGACGCTGACGAACCAGATACGAAAGTCTTTCATTCTTTTTAATACTCGCCTAAGCCATGATACCTAATCGAGGTTCGAAGAACGAAAGTAACTACGAATAAATGCATTTTGCCACGTGGTGATGGCTTTTTATCGTAAGTAGTTAAAATCGATGATTAATATCTTGGAGTTCATATGAATCGCCGCAAAACGACAAATTATATAACTGTAATAACGAGATTTTAAAATCCGAAAACAACATTGGCGCGAAAATCCCATGCATACACAATTCAGAAACTCTGCATTTAGGAAACTCAAAGTGCATTCATCATTCACATGTAGTTGATAACAAAGAATTTGATCTTCGATTTACAGACGAAAAACCAATCTGTTAATTTTTCCTATATTCCTTCATCCCTTGATCTAATTTTAATCGTTTTGTTGGTTAAAAAAATCGAGTGACCAAATGCTTCAAAATCGACATCGGAAATTATTTTCGTTTTTTAATATAAAAAATTTAATCCGACAAAAAAACTACAGAACCAACAGATCTGAGCCATTTTGTTTTAAATCCAACATTAAAGTCAAAAAAAAAAAAAATCTAATAAAAATTTTCATCATGAACTGGAACCAGCTTTAATCACTTTTGAGGGCAAAATTAATCAGGCATAGAAATGTATCTAATCGCAATTAAAGATGTAATCTACACACCATTCCGATTAACTCACAATTAATCAGCATTGTTCAGAAACGTTACATGCAAACTCAAAAAACTGCACTGAATTAACTAAAAACCCTAAATTTCCAAAATTTCCCAAATCATCAGGCAACATGCATAAAAACCATCATTGAACTCATAAAAAACACAGAATAAAGCATGAAAAAACACAAATCAATCAAGTTGTATACATGGATTAAATACGCATTCATGCAGAAATCTACAAAAAGATATACCTAAAAAAAACGTGATTCTGATTTCTGATTCTGTCAGCGGCGCCGTTTGATGATTTCTCCACTCCAAAAAAAATAATAAATAAAAATAAATTAAAAAATTGAGCACTTGAATTAAATCAACAGAGCTTGCGTTGAGATTGAATTCAACGAAATGGATTTGGAGAATTCAGTAACCCTGAAAAGCAAAATTTGTGAAAAGGAAAAAAACTGAAAGAAAGAGAGAGAGAGAGAAATAGAGAGAGAGAGTTGTGAAAAAATTGGACTGGGATTTCCTGTATTTAAGGTGGCGAGAGCCCACCTTTTTTTGAGGGGGAGATTTGGGGTTAAAACCCTGGAACCATGGTTAGATTTTAACCGCGGTTGGTTAAGGCGGTTGTGTGGATTTGGTGAGTGTGAATTTACTGTGTAAATTGTAATTAATGTAATTTGCTAGTTTTTTTGTTGGGATTTTTATTTTGAATTCTTTGAAATATTTCCCAAATACGGATTTGAAATTCACTCGCTTTGCTTTTTAGGCAAAAAAAGGTATATGATGACAATCAAATTTTGGCGGGGATTATAAAAATCTTTGAATTTTTTTTACAATATAATTAGTAACAAAATCTGGATTTCAATTTTTGCTTTTTAAAATTTTAAAGCGATGATGAATTTCAAAGTTTAGTAACAAAATCCTGAGTTGTATAACATTGATGAAATTTCCTATACAGATAATTATGTATATATGACAGCTAAAAAAAAAAGGAAAAAGAAAATCGAGAATCGGTAATTGCATTCTCGAAATTTGAGTAAAACCAGTAAGGCAACAACCGCATTTACTGCATCAAATCTGTGGGATGTCTCGCGGAGGTTTACCACACGAGACCCCGTTTGCGCTTACATCGTCGCCGACATCATCGCTGACATCATCGGACACTTGGCCGCCTTTTTCTCAGCAGAGACAAAGTTGCTGGTCATATGTTTTGTTGGCTGATGAGCTCAGCTTTTAATTCATTATTCAACCACTTTTTTTAGGCTTTTTTCGTGTTTAGATAAGCTTCGCATGCATATGCTTACAGAATTGTTCGGAAAGAAAAAAAAACGTGAACCGGGATTTTTTTTTTATTAATAGTCGAAATGTAGCTTCTAAATGTCATTACGTATGATCATATAAAACAATTCTACAACTCGAGTCGCAATACTCGAAACTGCAACGATGAATCCAGCTAAAGAATAAAAAAAAATCTACCAAGAACCGAAATCGAAACCGAAACCAAAACCCGTAAGAGTATACGATCGAGCGTAAGATAAATTTAATTTGCATAATTCTCGAGGAAGCAGAGACAGAACCATAAGAAATTTATACTTAACGCAGAAACATTGCTCAAGACGGAAACAGTAACATCAAGAAATCGATTTTTACTGCAGGGGTAAATAATAAGATACAAATCCAAGTTTATAAATGAAGCCTCTATGTACATAATAAATAAGCAATCATACCGAATCGATGTTCGGAGAACAAAAGTACGTAAATACGAATAAATGCACCTTTGCCACGTGGTGATGGCTTTTACTAGAAGTCATTAAACTCCGTGATTAATATCTTGGATTAAAATACGACCGCTGCAAACCGACAAATGATATAACTGTTGTAACGAGATTTTTAAATCCAAAAAAATTGGCGCGAAAAATCAAACCTCGCAATACGTTATTACAATGAACTCGAGAAACCTAAACATAATAATCATCAGCAAAGAAAACAAAGCAAAAATCTACGAACGAACTAACATAACAAATATAAGAAATACCAATTCGAGAGAGATAACCAAACAAGATCATTGCAAAATTATGTGTATATATATATATATATTGTATGTATGTATGTATAATATGTTCTTTTGCATTCCGTCCCCCAAATTGCGATTCTAACCTACCAGAGGATAACGCTGCATACGCTTAAAAAGAAAGAAAAAAAAACTATTAACGCCTATTACGTAAAGAACGTTACAAGGCTATGATCTCTTAACACCACCTTTTGCTAATTACGATCGTTTGTACGTCGCATTTTCGCTGAATCGGTCCTGCCATCGTTTACCATAGCACTGATACAACTTACGATGTGCATTACCTCATCGAGCTTTCGTTTCAGAACATTGACAGATTCCTGGCACGAAGCAGCTGGACAGGTTATTATAGCATTCGCCAAAATAGATTGCCCACAACAAGGACAATTTTGCAGATTAGTGGCACTGCCTTGAGTCTGTGGCCGAGTGGGCCCGCTCGTGGGCCCACTGGCTGCCCATCGAACGTGTGGTCGAGTGGTTGATTCTGGAATATGTGGTTGAGTAGGTACGTTCTGAGGTTTAGTCGTCTGACTCGAAGATCCTACGTTGTTCAGCTTCAAGTCGTACGCGCTTCTCGTATACGTGCCCGAAAGCACTTCCCACGCTTCAGATATAATCTTGAACGCTTCAACGGCACCGATCGATTTGTTTTTATCGGGGTGAAGAGCCAAAGCCATTTTTTTGTAACGATTCCTCAATGTTTGTACATCGACGAAACGATCCACGCCAAAGATCCCGTAATAGTCATATTCCCCGTTTATTGTCTTCTCACATGCAAGATAAACGTCGATTACTGCAAGGAGATGAGACACGCCTTCGAGATCGGGGAACATTTTTTGGGCCTTCAAAGCAAATTTCTTGGCTCCTCGAAAGTCCTTCTCCGTGAACTTCTTTACGGCAATTTCTTTAGCCTTTACAGCTTCGTCTTTATTACAATCCATTCTCGGACAATTTCAGTATTCAGCTGTGTGTTACCATAGTCGTAATAACAAATTTCATTAATTTAAGTATTCAACATAGCCACAACAAAATATATTTATGCATAATAAAAAAAAATTGATTAAAGAAAATTTCATTTTTTTTTACTGTTATTTTCAAATTCCAAATATTTAACTGGGATAAATCAAAGAAAAATAATTCTAAATACTTAGGGCCATAGGGTCAAGATGGGAACAAAGTTAATTATGAGGAAGAATTATATATATATATATATATATATATATATATATATATATATACACGAACCAGAGTTAGAATAAGCTACACAGGTTTCAGATGATAACGAAGAATCTCATCATCAATCACAGTAGATGAAACAACGGCGTCGTTTCATTTCAGATAATAACGAATTTTCATTATGCAAAAAAAAAAAAAAAAAAGAGTAAAGATAATCACTCACAGATATTCACTCCGGCGCCGGTTGATAATTTCGCCGATGAAATTAACTGAAACGAAATTGGTGTTAGGGTTTAACGAATTCAAGAAACCAAATTCTTGGAAACTTTTTTAGTTGAAGATTTGAAGAAGAAAATTGAAATTAGGGTTTACTTTTATTGAAGCCGGTGATTAATTCATAGAGCTCGCCTTTCAGTGGGGAGGATTTGGGGAAAAATGTTGATGATGGTGGTTAAGCCTGTAGTTTCAATTTGGTGTGTTTTATAGTCTCTTTTGAAGAGAGAGAGAGAGAGAGAGAGAGAGAGAGAGAGAGAGAGTGGGGAGAGAGAGAGAAGTCCGTTACCGTTTTATTCGAAAAATAATTATTTATTATTTAACGGCTTAATTCTATTTTGCACCCTTGAAATGGAGCCTTTTGTCATTTTGCACTTTCGAAATAAATTAATAGCACTTTGCACCCTCGAAATACAATATATCATTCACAATGCACCCTTTAATTGGATAATAAAGGATAATTCATTTTTTTTTACGGTTTTTTTTTTTTCTGAGGTGCAAAATAACAAATTAAATTGTTATTTTTTCAACCTTGAGCCTAATTTCGAGTGCACAATGTGCGAAAAAAAAAATCGCACCGGATAATTGAAAAAAAAACTACACAAAATCAAATCAAATAAACTTTTATTATTAAATTATTCGATTGATAGATATTTTATTGTAATTGGTGGAAATATTAGGTAGAAATATTTGGAAGAAATATGATTTTCAGATAACTTGATAACAAAATAGCTGAAGATTTTTTTTTTTCCGCAACATATTTTTTTTGATAAAAAAATATAATTTTTAAATGCCACTAAAAATATAAAATTACCTTTACTAGCTTTAAAAACTCATGTGAAGAGCATTATGCATGATATATTGTATTTCGATAGTGCAAAGTACTATTAATTTGTTTCGAGGGTGTAAAGTGCCGAAATGGTATATTTCAAGGGTGCAAAGTGAAATCAAGCCATTATTTAACTATATTTTTTAGACGTGATTATTTAACTATATTTTTTTATTCTAAATTCACTAGAAATTCTTGTTTCTAGCAAGTAAAACTTTTATTTTTTATTTTTTGAGATAAGCAAGTAAACTTTTAAGGTCATGAAAATTCACATTTAACAATTTTTGTTTAATTTTTTCGTTCGTAAATTAAAAGAATAAATTTAATAAATTATTAAATATGGCGGCGATTTGCTACACACACCTTTTAAGTCTAATTATATTACATAATGTATTCTCATTTTTAGTCTGAGATATCTCTTTTTATTTCAAATTCTCCGATTAAGCTGTTAATTTTCAGATTAGACGGTCTATTTTTAGTACTCTCCTACTAAGCCGTATATTTTCAGCTGCCTAAGGGGTCTTTAAGCAAATTTAAAATATCCAGGTAGACTATTAGATGTACAAAATAGTTTTGAGTGAGTTTTAACCATTCATAGGCTTTTGTTGCCCATTTGTTTAGGGTGTTCATGCGATTGTACCAAACTTTATTGGAATTTCGGTACTTAGAAAATTTGTACAATTTATTGAATAGAACTATTCAGTCGGTACATTTTTTCGGTTCGGTACCGATAAAATCAAAAATATATTTTAATGCTTTAAACTTATTACTTCTTGAATTTCACATTCAAATTTCAATAGTCGACCCTAAAGAAAAAAAGTGATTATCACTATGGGCTCATTTGTAAATAATGAAAAACATTATTTTTCTAAAAGTAATTTATAATTGGTTATAACCTTAAAGAACTTAAAATAAAAAAATATTTTATTAAATATTTCGGTGTACGATACGGTACATCAGGCATCAACATCGTATACCGTATCGAATACCGAACTTGTAAAAATCTTTACTTAACCAAATTTTTCGTTTTGGTCGATTTACCAGCCAGATGAACACCCTACATTTGCATCCTACCTGAATTTCAAAAAAATAAAGGGACTCTAAATAAAAAAAAAAAAAAAAAAAAAAGAAAAAGAAAACGCTTAATTTTTTAGGGGTTTCTAAGGATCAATACAAGATAGAAAAAAACTTAAATCATGTTCAAAATTCATCAAATGGAGCAATTTAAAACATCAAAACAAATTAATTACTTATCTAATTTTTTCTTACAGCTCTTCCAAAGAAGCCAAGGAAATCATCATCCTTGCCCTAAATTTCACACCTTCAATCAAGTGCTTCAATTCCATATCTTGACCTTCATGCGTATTGTCCGCCATATTCTTAAGCAACATTTCCACGTACGTATTCTCCGAATGAATATTTTCAAGGCACGAAGCCGAAACAGCTGGCGCATTACTACTCGAACCGCCGCCCTTATTTTTCTGCTGACATGGCATAGTCCTCTCTGGATAAGTTTCGGTGGTGTCCTTATATATCGGATCGGAGTTGCAATTCCCATTAACCGACTCTCCACGGTTCATAAGCTTCGCATCGTACGCAGTTCTCTTGCAGTTGTCCGACACAACTTCCCATGCTTCTTGCAGAATCTTGAAAGCTCCCTCGGCGCCAACTAACTTGTTTTTGTCCGGGTGGAGAGAGAGCGCCATTTTTTTGTATTGACTTTTCAAGAATTGTTCGTCGACGAAAGGGCCGGCGCCAAAGATTCCGTAGTAGTCGATTTGTCCGTTTATTTTCGTCTCGTATGTAAGATGGATGTGGATGGTCATGAGCAATTGAGACAAGCCGTCTAGGTCGGGGAACAGTTCTCGAGCTAAGAATGCATAGTTCTTCGCTTCTGTAATGTTCATTTCCGATAACTTTTTCTCGGCGATTCTTTTTGCCACGATAGCTTGGTCTATGTAAGAGTACTCCATTCTCAGACAATGTACCTAGCAACACAAAAAGAATATGTAATAAGAATTACAAGAGATAACATAAGCAGAAACAGAAGATCTTGTTCATTGGAAAATCATGCAAAATTAGGGCATCCTTCAACAAAAGTAGTTAAAAAAATACATTAAATAGTACTAAAATAGCGTAAATTACGGCCGTCCCTCCCTGAGGCAAGGGCAAAGTACGAAAAAAAGGTCTCATGTTTGGGTAATTACAACCAGCCCCTCAACTATGAAACTTCTTACACGTCCACCCTTGCGGTGTCAAATTTAGAGGAATATTCTCCAATTTGTACCCGTTTTACCCCATTCAAGCTCCACACTTTGAAACAAGATGATTAAAATGCATCTCTTGGTTTGTAAATATCAGATTGTGGTGCATCAGAAACTGCATTTTTGCACAAAAACAATTACAAACTAGGGAACATTCCATGGAATTTAAAAGATTCTGTTGAATTTGCAATTAGCACCGTAAGGGTGAACGTGTAAGAAGATTAATAGTTGAGTGGTGGATATAATTACTCAAACATGAGGGATTTTTTTGTAATTTGAGCTTACTTCAGAGGGACGGCCGTAATTTAACCTACTAAAATATAATTTTGATATCCAAAATGCAGATTTCGGAGATGCAGTTAATCGATTTTGTGTTCAAGAACACCATAAATAAAATATTTCATATAATTCTGGATCAAGTAGAGAGAAAATCATGCCATGTGAGTTGACTAGCTACCGTACTTTTAAGCAGAAATACGCATTCTAGAAGCGATTTTTAATTACCACATGGATAAAACTAGAAACCCTACGCCTAATTATGAAGCGCATACGAACACGATAAATAAGTATTTACATACACGAAGATGCCAAGTTGAAATGTGCAATTTATAATTACTAGAAAACATTTGAACAAGTTATAAAAACAATTAACAGTGGAACGACAGATGTTTAATAATCAGATTTTTAAATCCAATAAAAACCACGTTGGCGCAAAAACCCCGCGCTTCGATATATATATATATTCTCATGCATACAAAATATTAAGCAAACACAAATTAAATAATCATGGCCAATCTTTTGAAAAAGAGCAACTAATCTTAGAAAACTCAAAATAATTTTATCATCAGTTACTCTTTTTATTGGTTGAACTCAATTTTGAGTGGCCAAATGCATCAAACGGACATTGGAAAAATATATATTTTTAATATGAATATTTATTCTTTTTCTTTTTTTTTTTTTGAAAAATATATGAATTAATATTTATTCAGAACACCAAGAGCAACATCAGTAGAATAATTAAAAACAGATCTGAGCCATGCTGCAATTTTATAGATAGAACCTAATGAATTTACCATGTCATTACACATAATCCTGCTAATTAATTATAAATTATTTTCTTTTAATAAATTATTCATCAACATTAAAGCCAAAACCAAAATCTAATGAAACATTCATCATTAAATGGAACCAGCTTTAATTAAAAAAGAAAAAAGAAAAAAGAAAATCGATGCAAACAAAAAATAAAAAAAAAACGTGATCATTATACAGAATAGAAAATGAAACATTCATGAATCAGAGTTACGTGCACAAATTAAACATAAATAAGAATTTCACGCAGAGAAGTGTAAAAGATGCGCACACATATATATATATAAAACCTCCGCTTTACCTTATGCGATTCTCTCAGTTGACGCCGCCGTTTTGATGAATTTTTTGAGACGGTTTAATTTCGGGGGTGTTTGACTAATTAAATCAACATTGTTTGTGTCGGAAAAAAATTCAAGAACCCTGAAAAAGAAAAAGAAAAATGATTTTGAGTGGAAAAGGTGTAGAAAATAGAGAGAGTTGTGCAAGAAATGTGACTGGGATTCCCTCTATTTATTTAAGGTGACCAGCTTTTTTTTTTTTTTTTTTGTTTTTTTTGTTTTGGGGTGGGTAGGGGGGGGGGGGGGGGGGGGCGTACTTGGGTTAAAATTCTGATTAGGGGCGAAAGTCGAATGGATCGAATTGGAATTAGTATTTTTGTAAAATTTTCAAAAAATTTCGAAAATATAAAACCAATTCCAATTTCAATTTCAAAATTTTTCGAATCTAAAAACTCATTCCAAATAGCGTTGAAATTTTAGGATTTCGGAGAAATTTCAGAAATCACATTAATTTCAAAATTTCAAAACTTGGCGGAATTTTTTTGAAAATTTCATAATTTTCCAAAAACAAAAAAACATCAACGTCCATAAAAGTAAAATTAATAAGTACTAAATTTCAGTTCAAAAAAATAAATTTCATCATAATATCCAATAAAACTGGTAATAACAGTTCAATATGTCAAAATCCTAAAATAAAACTTAAATCAAATCACTGTTTCAGAAAAAAACAAAATAAAGACTTAACATAAGTATTATATAATATATATTATTTATAGGTGCATTTTTCGGAAACAAAATGGAATTTTCCGGAATTGATTTTGAAAATTAAATTGAATCGAAAATCAGAAATTTCATTTTTTTTTAAATAATTCCAATTTCAATCCAAAAAAGTCAAAAAAAATCGAAAATCGGAATTTTGGAAGTTGGAATGAAAAAAGTTGTTAAAAAATCGGAACTTTTCAGATCGATACCGGTGGAAATTGAATTTTCGTTCCAACTTACACCCCTAATCCTGATTATAATTAAAAATAGGGCAAATTACGGCCACCCCTGAAGTAAGGTCAAATTACGAAAAAAAACTCCATAATGTTTGAGTAATTACAAATAGTCATCAACTATGAATCTTCTTACACATTCACCCTCACGATGTCAAATACGGATGGATCTTTTCCTTGCTAACGATCACTCGGTCGAGCTTGTCGCACATAGTTAGCATCATAGCGTGGTTCACATTTCTCGTATTGTTTTTTCTCTAGTTTTGTTTGCCAATGAATTCGCTCTTCCTTCCTTTTTTTGTTGCCTCCAGTTCCATTATCGCCTCCATTGTCAACCACATAATCTATTTGTTGTCGCATAGGAGGAAACTATTGGAATCAGACTGCTAGGGTTCTCGCCCGGGAGTTGTAGGAGGAGATTTGAATGGTTGTAAATAGAGAGAGTGAGTTTATGATCGACTTCCGATGTGGCCTCCTCTTTCATACCTCGCCGACGCCCCCCTCATCTTTCCACATCTACCCCGCCGCCGCCATCGTTTTAATTTAATTTAATTATTTTCTGATGGTTTTGATGTTGGGTAGCTTTCAAAGCAATATTGCTATTTTTGTTATTCTGCTAACTTTTTTAGTTGTTTTCGACATTTTTAGCTGATTTTTGATAAAATGTAGTTTGTAGTCGATTTTCGATATAATGTAGTTTGCAGTTGATTTTTTTATTGTAATTACTATGAGGATGGGGTTTCTTGGTTTCTAGTTTGTTTTTTAAAAATGTGGTTTTGTTATTCTGCTATTTTGTTTAGTGGTTTTTTTTTTTTTTTTTTATTATTATTTTTTTAGTTGTTTTTGACGTTTTATTAATTTTTTATTTTTTAGTAGTTGATTTTGATTACTTATAATTTTTTTCAATAATATGAATACCTGGAGAAAAAAAATGAATTAAAAAAATGAAATAAGAAAAAAAAAAAAATCACAGTTGTAATTTGCAAAATGGATTTCAGGTAAGTAAATTAACCCTGAAAGTTCATTTAAAGTTGTCAACTTGTCATTTAAAGTTCATTTTATAGTAGCCTAAGTTTGTTTTGAAATCTGAATATGCTCGTGTTCGCTCGAGTAGACCTATGCAGCACACAAAAACTTCAATAATTTCGTAATGTTTCCGTGTTTCGGACACGTTTCGTGTCCGACACTTGAGAACACATGTCGCACACCTTATATATGGACTATTTTGTAACTTATAAAAAGTTCAAAACATATTTGGATAACAAATTTTTAAATATTTTTTGTTCCTTCCTTAATTATGTAGATAATTTAATGATCAATTATAAATTAATAATTGATAGTAAAATTTATTTTAAATATGTTTGTATGAAACTAATATGAAAATAATTTATATGTAAATAAAAACTTATATATAATATTTATAAATACCGTATCAACGTTTCTGTTAGACCAATAAATAAGCATATAACATAAAAAAATTCATGTAATTTTGAAAAATAATTAACTAGAAGATCAGAAATTTAATTGAACAACTAGGAAAGAACTCGTCTAATAAAACATGGTAATAACCTAATTATTTATTGAACACATAGATCAACTGATTAATTTCAAAACTTCAAACCGAAAATAGCATAGAGATAATAAAATAAAAATTTGCAACAGAAGTTTTTTTAATGACAAAATAAAAATAGTCCAAAAGTTCTTATAATACAAACAATATTCAAATAGTAATTACGAAACCCTAATAATAACGATCGACGACTGCGCCTGTCGATCGATTACTGCTTGAACCAAGGGTGATTAAGAGCCTCTTTTGCAGTAATTCTGTCCTTTGGATCGTACGCCAACATCTTCAAAACCAGATCAATTCCACATTCCGTAATTTTCGGAGCTCCCTTAAAAATATACGCAACATCAAACCTTATCCCCAGTTCGTAACTCGCCGGCCGGCCCGGTGTATGAAGCAACTCGTTAATTTTCCAGAGTTGATCGATTTCGCTAACCCCTTTGAAAAGAGCATCCTTTATAATAAGCTCCGCCATAATACATCCAACCGACCACATATCGACTGCCGACGAATAATTACCCGAACCGATAAGCAATTCCGGGGCTTTATACCATCGACTTCCCACACCTCCACTAGTATACAATCCTTCTCTACTTCTTCTTCGCGACGTACCGAAATCGCAGATCTTCACTTGCAATCGTTCTTTAATTAGAATATTCGACGGCTTCAAATCCCGATGCATCAGCCCGTTCTCATGCAGAAACCGAACCCCCTCCAATATCCGCTTCATCAAGAATTGAACTTGCCATACGCACGTGATCCTGTATTTATCCGCGATGTATGCTTTGAGATCTTTCTGCACGTACTCCATCACGACGAAGACGCAGTTGTTTCGATCGACAAAGACGCCTTTGAACTCGACTACGGATGGGTGCGGTGGGAGCGATTTGAGGATGTCGATCTCTCTCATCGTTGAGTTACACAACCCTAGAAACTCGTGCTTCATCGCCACGACTTCTTGCGTTTTCTTGTCGAGAGCCTCGTAAACCCTGCCGTAAGAACCTGTGCTGATCACGCTGAGTAACTCGTACCGGTCGAAATCGGTGTCGTCGTTCGAACCGAAGTAAGCGTTGACCGCTTGTTGAACGGAGTGATTATTCCCGGCTGCTTGGAGAACCGCCATTGATGATATAATTGCATGCAGATCGATTTCTTGTAATTCTTTAATTCTTTTTTAATTTCTGATTTAATTTTGGTAAATTGTTAATTAAAAGGGGGTTAGTTATGAGGGAGCTTAGGCTTCTTAAATATAATGCCGTAAAGAGATCTAATTCATCAGGACTCAAGCTGATTGGTCATCCGAGAATCTTTTATTTATTTATTTATTTATTTTATTAATATTATTAGAAAATAGGTCTCCACATATAAAAGGAAAACCGTAAATAAAAGGAAAACAATGTCTACGGTAATCTATTTTTTTTCTTATTTACAATTAATGAAATAGCTCTTTTCTATTGAAATAACAAGATTATTTTAGGCAAATTTTTCTATGTTCCCACACAGAAGTCTCTTTTCGTTAAGGTACTAATTACTATACATGTGTATGTATGTTGATGTGTATATGAATGATACAGATCTATTCGGTGTATTTCATTCGATGTAGAATAGAATAAATCTCAATAGTGGTCTTGCGCCATTGAAATATTGACGCAGAACGAAAGCACAAAAAGGAATTAATCTCTATGAATTAATCCTATAGAACACGATAACTCTGAAATCCACCAGATAATTGAGAGAAAACTCAGAAATTTTATTGATAATTAAAGAAATCCACCAGATAATTGAGAGAAAACTCAAAATTTTTATTGATAATTAAAGATGCTTGGTATGCCTAATTGGGCCAACCAAATGGGCCTACAATTTCTTTACCTAATGGGCCACAAACCCAATATTTACGACCACTATCACCCAGGCCCAATCACCTTCAAGTAAGTTTTGGGCCCGACAATCTCAACTATGCTATAAATAAATGTTTGAACTCATTCCTTAATGTACGTCCTATTAACTGAGCAATACTATAATATGTATTCTCTGGACCATTTATACTATCCGCACGTCTGACTTGAGTATCGGAGGGGTTTCCGCCGAATCAACCCCAGGCCTAGTTCACGTGTTCTATGATCGCAGGTATCTCAAGGTCATCAAGCTCGTGAGCCAGTGATCCACTCTGCTCTTCCAGCTCATCCTACTTCAACTATCTAAGGTGATCCATCTCTAGCATCATCAATGCTGAAAATAAACCCTAGAACAACTATTTATAATAAAGAAAACGAAAAACCCTAATCAAACTAGTAAAACGAGAAAATTACCAAAAAAGGCAAAAAAAAAAAAAAAAAAAAAAAACGAAATAACTCCTAAACCTAGTAGAGTACCGAAAATTGAAAACATCCCAACTTGCGGATTTTAAATCCGATTTTTCTAGAATTAATTATGAATTATTTAAAACTTTTCTAAAATAGCAAAAACGTCGTTTTGAGGGCCTAAACGACCTCGAAACGCCAAAATCCATCGCACGTGACGGCGTAGCTCCCCTCGCCGTTTCGGTTCGCAAAAACTTGGCCCCACACAATTTCACCTCCACCACCTCTTCATCAAATATTATTTATTATTTTGCAAAGCTCTCGTTTCTTTTCAAATTTAATTGATTATCCATTTCTTTGTAGGCGCACATGTGATAATAGTTGTAAATATATAATGAAGAAGATGAGACAATAATATCGGTTGAAAATTATTCTCAATAAGTTGTCCATAATTTAAAGGTATTATTCTTCTAATAACTTGATATGATTCGGCTAAAGCTACAATATAAGTAAAATGGGTGCGCATATACATGATATGTCTAATTGGGCCAATCCAATAGGCCCACAATTTCTTTGTCTACTCGGTCACGAGCTCAATCACCTTGAAATAAGATTTTGGGCCCGACAATCTCAACTAATTAAACTTCAGCCCAATCAATAAGGTATAAATAAATGTTTGAACTCATTCCTTAAGTACGTCCTATTAACTGAGCAATACTACAACATGTATTCTCTGGACTATTTTCACTATCCGCAGGTCTGACTTGAGCGTCAGAGGGGTTTCCGCCGGATCAACCCCCGACCTAGTTCACGTGTTCTATGATCGCAGGTATCTCAAGGTCATCAAGCTCGTGAGTCAGTGATCCACTATGCTTTTCCAGTTCATCATACTTCAACTCTCTAAGGTAATCTATCTCTAGCATATCAATACATATTTTCGTTCATGAGAAACATGTAATTATCAATCTCACTTCTCAGAATTGTAATATTTGGAGGATATCCTATTATACCAAGTGTCTGTATAATGAATTACATCCCTAAGAAAAAAAAATTATTTCGGGGATTAAATCCCTTTATTTAATACATGTATGATTGTACTAGTAATTTCAAGTTTGTCAAAAACATGAAAATTCATTGAAATATTTTTAGATTTTCAACTAAATTTTCACTTTATGCCTTGGTAATTTCTATTTTTTTTTTAATTTAGTCATTTTTTGTCAATGTTCCATGAAAAGATCTTCAGTTTGAAACTAATGTCGAACTGAAATATGATTTGGTTATTGAGGTAATTTAGTTGTTTTGATCAACACTCCATTTTGTTGTCTCTTACTTGGTAAAATTCACCGAGCATATATTATTTAGTTATCAATACTCCATTTTGTAGTCTCTGAGAGACACCTAGTGGTGTTTGAGAAATGTTTAATTAAAATTGCTCTTATTTCGTAATTTTTTTGTATAAGGAATGTAAGAAAGATACACTCGACTTCAAGAAAGTGAAGAGCAAAATAATGGTGTGTTTAAGGGGGAATGTGCGAGAGTGATGAAATTGCAGGAGGCTCTTCGTGCGGGTGCAATGGCAATCCCCATGGACCGATTACAATGTCGTGCCCACATATTTCTCTTTATGAAAAAATAGCTAGAACAAGATATTTTTATTCTTAATTTTCGTTTGAAGACCAAAGCATGTGATGGACGGAGCTTTTTTTCTTTTATTTTTTACCCTTTACTATTGATGTAATTTAAATTGAAACAATTATAATTTTAAAAACTCAATATTATAATTTAAATTAATTTATATTTTGCAATAATTTTATTCCACTCTCGTGCATCTCAAGGCTTAAGTTACTAGTTTTGGTTTAAAAAAGGAAAATTTCTCTACTATGTTTTTAATTATTTATTTTTTTATTCATTTATTTCTTATATCTCAATGGAATTGTAATTTTCTTCTTCTATCAATTGCATATTTTGTAGATAGGATGTTGTAGAAAATATGTAGTTCTAAAGTTGTCACCTATGTAGCACGGACACAGAAACACGGATACGGCGAAACAAGGTAACAAGCACGGAAAAACTCTATTTTCTAAAGAGTTAGATGTGAGAATGTAGGAGTAATGTGTAAATATTAAAAATAAATATATAATGTATAAACTTTTGGCAACTCTAGGGTAAATTCAATGTCATTTTGTTATAATTATTATTTTTTCTCATCTAATTTTCTACTTATTATTTTTGTTTTCATTCTGATCTCAATGGAATGGTTTGCCGCTTTCTAATTATATTCTTACTTTCTTTGTTAATTGCATTTTTGTAACAAAAATTCTGTTTATTTTTTTTCCTCTATGGTTTCTAATTTTTTTTTTTTGTTCTTTCTTGTCTCAATGAAACAGTTTTCAGTTTATTTGTTATTCCGCTTTATTCGTTAAGGGAAAATTAGCAAGACCTCCTTTATTTGGTAAAAATCATTTGAGATAGAACCTCTTCAAATAAATAGTTTGAGAAAACCCATTTCTCTTTAAATTTAAAACAACTCTCCACACAAATTTAAATTGTCCATTATATCCTTTCAGAAACCTAATTTCATTTTTCATTTCTCTTTTTTTCTGTTGCTTTCTTCTCGATCTCTCCTCTGTTTTTTTTCTTTCTCCGGTAACACATATTTCGGTCGAATTCCGATGGGTTGCCCCACCTCCAAGATCGACGACTTACCCGTCGTCGCTTTATGCCGCGACCGTTTCTCTTTTCTCGACGAAGCCCTACGATAGCGTTTCACCTTCGTCGCAACCCATGTTGCTTATCTTATCTCTCTCAAGGTCTGGACCACTTTTTTAACCAAGATCTCGAAGCTTCTTTGCTTAGGCCCCATTTCCCACGGCGGACATCGCTGATGGTGTGGGGGTGGTGATTGTGTGGTGTGACGACGATATGATGATGATTGTGAGCAGATCTAGGACTTTTTTAGGTAGAACGCGCAGAGAACGGCGCGTACGGAGGAAATTAGCGCATGTTAATCGTCTACGTTCAATGGTCGATTAAGGAATTTCCTCAACTATGTATTCAAGAGAGAGGAAGAAAGAGTGGTATTTGCCGATTCTACCCTTACTAAAACATGTGTGAATTGCCGCGCACAATTCCGGCGAGGATTTGGCCAAAAATGGCCAATTTAGTGATTGGTGCTTCAAATAACAGAGTCTAGGGGGCATCGTGCAGTTTGTTTTAGTTTAGGGGGTAACATGTAAAACACATCAAAGTTTTGGGGCAAAATGTCATAATACTTTAATTATTATTATTATTAATCATCAAATGATAATAATACTTTAAGTATATTAATTTTTATTATATATAATAGTCTAAAGTTGTTTGGGCTATTTGAATTTTTATTAACAATATGTGATATATAGTTTACTTGTAAATGTAAGCTGTTTAATTAGTGGCGCAAGTGAATTAGTTAAGTCTGCCCAGTTTCGTCCCACATTGAAGAAATACGAAATAAAGAACATATATTTATAGAGCTAACGCAGCACTTATAGACACGACCTTACTTGAACAGGATCTGTTCTATAGGCTCGTACCTCTGTATCTTTGACTTCTAAAGAGACAGGAAACTAAGTTTGGTGGATGAACCATGGTGGATGAACTATAGGGGTGGGCATTCGGGTCGGGTTATTCGGGTATAACCCGATCCGGTCGGGTGGTAATTTTTGACGTAACCGGGTTTTTCCCGGGTTCGGGTACCCGGTGCTCCCAAACCGGGTCGGGTCCGGGTATTAGAAAACCTACCCGGGTACCCGGTTGAATTTTTTTTTTTTTTTTTTTTTATTTATTT